TATATATATATACATACATAAATACACACAATACATATTTCGAGAAATACATGCATGCACGCATATATATAATATATATATATATACACACACATACATACACACACACACACATGTTGGCAACGAGCTCGCTATTCGACTTGCTTGTTTGCTTATTCGTTCGTTTACTTACCTCTGGCATCTGTTTCTCTGTTCAAAAAGCTCCAAATCAGTTTACTGCCGATGGTCCCGACCCGTCGCGCTCCAAGGCTCGGGATCCGATGATTCCGGTGCGATCCCTGCGGCAGTACTGAGCCCCCGGCTTCAGGTTTAGGGGTTTAGGAAGTTCGTAGTTAGCTACTGCCTTGGGGTTTAGAAAGCCCGAAGCCCGAACCCTCCAAGAACCAGTGTGGGGTTCGCTGCCGCAGTGCAGCGACTTGGTCCGCAATAGCTCGCCACGAGACTACTCGCCTCAGGAGCTGCTTTCAGCTATTCATCTCTTGCACCCTGCTAATTGAGGATTCAGGCTTAGAATCGAGAAGCTAAGCTGTGCGAAAGCCGCAGGCGTTGACAGAGCTGAAGCCAGTGGCTCCACAGGTCTCGTGATTGAAAGCCAGTGCACCAGCTGGCTCGGATCGGCGTAGTCCCGGCGCAGGCCTTTGCAATGCTTGCCGCCCTTAAGCCCTAAACCCAGGCCCCGGAACCCTAAACCCTAAACCCTAAACCCCGGAACCGATGCCCTATGCCTTGCAGCAATCACCCCCCGTTTCCTGCCTTGATGCCGGCCTCGGACTTTGCGATGGGCCTCTTCCGTTTGGAACGTTTGAGCTGCTTCCGTGCTTGTGTCGTATAGAGGAGCGCGTCTGGACGGTTCGAGTAAAAAGGCGTCTGCTATAGGGGCCTCAGTAATTCAATAATTACCTACCCTATTTTGGGGGTTCCTTATGACACATATAGCAAAAAAAAGCCCTATTCTAATTATTAAGGCCCCTATACTACAGGGTCGCCGGAGGTCCCCAGAGCGCAGTCTGCTCATCTGGGAAGGCTGACCTGGAGGCAGGTGGAGACCAGCTTGCATGAAACTGCTAATGTAGGGCCTTAGTAATTACCTATACTACTTTAGGGTTTAGGGTTTGGGGTTTAGGGTTTAGGGGATACTGTAGGGGCCTTAGTAATTACCTACCCTATTTTGGGGGCTCCTTATTACAACTATAGCAGAAAGGTTTAGTTTTTAGGGTCTAGGGTTTAAGGTTTAGGGGCCTTAGTAGTTACCTACCCTATTTTCGGGGCTCGTTATTACAACTATAGTATAATGGGCCCCCAAAACCCTGTTCTAATTATTGAAGGCCCCTACATTAGACTCTCCTCCCATAACCATTTCGGCTCCAGCACGGCAAAGAAAGAACGGAGTGTAGCTTTGAAGTCCCATTGCTACCACCCAGTGCGAGCTTCTTGGCACTTTCTGGAGCAGCGCTGCGGCGATGCACAAGTGTTGCCTAGGGCAAGTCGGAGGCTCCAGCAGACTTGACTCCTAAATTTCAAATGCAAACCCCTCACCCTAAAACCTTAAACCCTGATCCCGACCCAAGCCCCAAAACTCTGAAGCCCTAACCCTGAACCCATAACTAGCGCGGGATCTCTTGAGCCTCGAGGATCCCACTGTGAAGACAGGCCTCGGATCGAGAATGCGCCTGAAACCCGATTCTTCAACACCACTGAAACCAGAGCACCCCCAAACCCCAAACCCAGTCACTGAACCCTGAACCCTAAAAACCTTATGCCCTGAAGCCTAATAAGCCCTAATAAGCCCAAGCCCTGAGCCCCAAACGGAAAAAAAACCCGAAGCCCAGTGGGTGGTTGTCAAAATTATGGTCCCTTTTTGGGGTCCTTATGATAATACGGCACCTATTATTTAGGGTACCTCAAAAGGGACCATAATTTTGACAACCACCCAGTCGCTCCGAAGCTTCGTGCCTTTGAGGTGATGTGCCGCTTCACCCAAGAGCCCCAGCCGGAGTCGACGGGCTGCTCTACCCAGGCCCGGGATCGTCTGATGTAGGGGCCTGAATAATTAGAATGGGGTTTTGGGAGTTCTTGAGTATAATTCTGGTATAATATACCCCAAACCCTATTCTAATTACTAAGGCCCCTATATTAATGCAGGTGAGGCTTACTTCAGGCTCCGGGTTCAGGTTTATTCGGGTTGAGTGTGGGGTTTTAGGGTTTGGAGTGTTTAAGAGCTTCAGGGTGCAGGCTGCAGGTCAAGGAAGAGCTCCAAAGTTCAGAAGTCATTGGGAGATGCCTCGGTCGGAACGGACGGAGCGCCAAGATGTGGGACTTGCCGCCGCAAGTTGATGCAGATGATGCCCCCCCTTCCCCCAAGGCTGATAGGTTTCCGCTTTCACCGCCCGTCAGAACTCTGCGTTTCTCAGCGCACACGCTGAGTTTCTGCCTCACCCGGCGAGGTACCCCAGAACGTAAGGTTAGCCAGCATTGAAGGCATCCCTTCAGCGCGAAACCCCAAACTCCATGCCTCGAAGGATGAAGCCGAAGTAGGCGAGCCCCTAAACCCTAAGCCCTAAACCCTAAACCCTGATATCGACGTGTGGGGCTACAGAGATCCTCGAGGCTGTCCCTGGCCTGGTTGCCGTGTCATTGATAGATTGAATCGTTCCAGGTGGTGCCGACAGCCGAGGACAAAAAGGTCCCCATCCGTGTCAAAAGGCCAGCGGGTGAGCACGTTCTTGCCCGGAGGAGCACAGCAGCTCTCTGGCGCGAGAAAGTCTGAAGTCCCTCTTTTCCAGTTTCCCTTTGGGCTGAGCTGGAGTCGCCTTTCCGGGTTCGGTTGCAGTCTCCAGAGTGTCTACATTCCTACGGGTTGGATCCTAGAGCACGATAGGCTTCGCTGCTAGCTGCCTAGCTCTTCACACGTCCACGCTCTACGATGAGCCCCGAAACCCCAACCCGGAGGTCAAACCTGGAGAAGCTCATCGCGGCGGCTGTGGAAGCAAGCCACGAAGCATCGAACAACGCCTCCTTGAAGAGGCCAGGCCTTCCCCTGCTCTTTCAATGACACGTAAGATGATCTGAAGCCCTGAACCCAAAACCCTCATCGCGGGCCAAGCCTTGCTAAGCAGAAAGATGGAGCGAGGTTCTTGAATGCTTCTTTTAGCCTCACAGATCAGGGTTTCATGCAGCTGAAAGGTCTGCACCCAGGTTTAGGGTTTAGGGTTTAGGGGGTTTAGGGTTTAGGCTTCACAACCACGATGCAGGGACAACTGTTGTCGCAGTCAAGGGCGGGGGTTAGACACTAGGGTTTAGGGGCTAGGGTTTAGGACTGGAGTACATCGCACCCTCGGCACCCAACCCCTAACCCTAGTCAGACGAGTTCAGAAGAGGCCAATACTATAGGGGCCTTAATAATTAGAATAGGGTTTTGGGGCCCATTATACTAAAATTATAATAAGGA